CAGCGAGTGTCCGGGGAGAACCGCCGCTCCGGAGCCCACAGCGTGCCCGGCCCTGGTCGCGCCGGTCTCCGCCTCGACGACTCGGTCACAGCACTTTCTCTTCATATGTCCCTCGGGTCCTCGGGGTCCCTCCCCGCCTCTTCGCGCCCAGAAAGCTGGATTTCGCAGATGCCCCGCTCAAAGGAGAACATTTTTTTTTTTCGGGAATGAAGTCGCTTCTCCGTGTTGGCCGTAGTCGATGGATGGGAGGGGCTAGAAGTCACTTGGCGTCTTGAAAAGGTTTGTTACTGTTGTTAAAATCGTCCGCTCTTCAAAGTTTAAGGGAAATCACTTCCTGCGAACCTGGGACTTTCGGATTGCTTCTGAGCTGGAAGGTAAGAGGCTCCGTGGAAAAACGTTTCTCTCACTTTTGTGATTGCACCCTTCACAGATTCTAATTTTATCATCATTATTTTAACACAGACTCGCTAAGAAAAACCCGTTAGCAGTATGTAGAGATGTTTGGGAAGCAAGGTTTTTTTCCGTTGTATTTTAGCGTTCAGTCGGCACCCTGGGTGTCCCAAGTGTGTGCTTTGGTTTCTGGCTTAGAAGGGAAGGAGTTTGGGGGGATGGGTTTGCAGCAATACGGTTGCAACCAAAACCAGGAGCACGATTTTCGTTTAGCGCTAAGGTCTCGACACATGAGACCAGAAGTCAAAGGAATAGACTGTAAAAAATAAAATAGTCAAATCAGGAAATGACCAGGCGAAGGCTATTTTTAGTCCTAAGAAGGGAGACCTAAATTGCCTACAGATTTCTGGAAAACAGTTAAAAGTCACTATCCAGGATTGCCAGTACTTACTTGTGACTTACTGAAGTTGGATTTTTGAGGCCCCCCCCCACCTTTTTGTTTTTTCTTTCTTCTTCTTCTTCTTTTTTTTTTTTTTTAGAATATTTTGGAGTCAAAATTTAATACTGGTTTATAGAATTTGTTTTTTTAGGTGCCTCCACATTTTGAAATGAAAGGATTTACTTGCATTAATACCTAACAGTGAAAGCTGCAGCCGGGATTGCCTGGCAGCAGATGTCTCCATGGAAAGTAGCACTGGTGGAAGCGTGGGCAGAGGGCAGAGCTGGAAACCACCTCCCGCTCACTAGCTTTGTGGCTGCAGTCAGGCTGCTTCATCTGTCAGAACCTCTGTTTTATAAAAAGTGAATAAATGTGATTGCATGATCACTAAGGTCCCTTTGAACTTGACGCTTCTGCCTTCCGTATTCAAGAAACTTTTCAAAATCACACTGAAACCATTACAATTAAAATAGCTTCTAATGTTGACCCTCCAGATGTAGAAGAGTGTCTCTCGTATACATGAATATAGTGCCTGTAGACTTGTACCATTTATTCCCTCATCTCCCGCACAGACGTCTGGAAATCTGACTATAAGGTTTCAGCTAAAGTAAACTCTTCATCTGTGTGAATGTGTTACTCCTTGCACTATACTGTTTTAAATTTGCAGAGCCTGGACAAGAATGGATATGGCGGCTCACATACCATATGTCCAAATATTTAAGTTATAAATCAAGCTGAGAAGCTATTTTTATAAACTATACTAGAGGCCCAGTGCACAAAAATTTGTGCACTGGTGGGGGAAGGGGGGTGTCCCTCAGCCCCACTTGTGCCCTCTCACAGTCTGGGACCCCTCGGGAGATAACCACCTGCTGGCTTAGGCCCGCTCCCC